GAACACAAGCCCTGAGACACTGAAACAGCAAATCTGATACGCACGATGGCCACTGAGATATTTGGAGAGACCACATTCACATAATTTTTATGACAGCGTGTTGTTATTGACTGTTGTATTTATTAGTTGTTATTCATCTCTTACTGTGCCTCCTTTATCATTCTATCGGAGATATGAATGTACAGGAAACCACACAGTATGTATGGGGCTCAGTACTGTGTGATTTAGGGGTCTTAAAATATACCCCTCCAGGTTAAGGGCCTGCTGTAAACCCTCGGGGCCTCTGTCTCTATGACATGCACACTAACACCCATCAGGCAATGTCACTATGAGAACTACACCAACAAGTGGGCCAGGGACAGGCCAGGCACACTGCTCCTCTCAAAGCTCCACAACAAGAAGGAAGGTGGCCAGGGCCTCCTCTCTCCTGCTAGAAGACTTCTCCATGTCTCCCCGACTGCCTCGCACGGCAAATGCATCATGGTTCTGCTATTGGGTTTAATCTTCATGTGTCCACGTGAGTCCCCACAGGACTGAGCTTCCCAAGAGAGACCTCCTATGCTTGTGTGTCCTCCTCTACTGGTCTTTGTTATGGACCTCACGGTCACTATGGTCACCAAACAATCAGACAGATGGCCAGCAGTCCCAATAGTGGGGGAGAGGCAAGCTCCTTGGGCAGCCTGCTTGGCAGAGCTCTGGACGAGAGAAACTCAGCCGGAGCTCGGAGCAGCACTCCTGAACGGCCATGTGGGATGGGTGGTCAGCACAGCTTCCGGCAGCAGATTCTCTTAACTCACACTGCAACCAATGAGCTTTCAGCACATTACACTAAGTCACACAAGAAACAACAAAAACCCACGAGTACCGTATGATTCTACTTACACAAGATGAGCTCTAAAACAACTTCTTTATCTTTCTGCAGTAGTGGGGACTGAACCCAGGGTTGTTTGCATTAAGCTACATCCTCAGTCCTTTGTAAGACAGGGTCTCCCTAAAGTGCTCAGGCTGGGCTCGTTTGTGATCCTCCGCCCGTTCAGCCTCCCACAGTGCTGGGATTACACACTGCGACATTTGCCACCATGCACAGCTAAACTCTGAAGCTTCCTGAGCACTAACATGATGCCATTAGTGGAAAATTCCACACCAGATCTTGTGACAGGCAGCCATCAAAATGTAGCGATAGTAAAGATTACCTTCAGCCTATGTATACAAGGCATATATGAAACACAAATGAATTTCTTCTTTAGGTTTGGATTCTACTCCCAAGATATCTCACCATGTAAATGCAAATATTCAAAAATCTGAGAAAAAAAAAAAATCCAAAATCCAAAGCCCCCTGCCAGAGCATTCCTGCAAAGGGACAGCCAACATGTATGAGGTGCCCGAGAGCCAGACTCACAGCAACAGAGAGCAGAACGCGGCTGCCTGGGCTGGAGTCAGTGTTTAGTAAAGACAGAGTTCAGGCAGGTGAGAGCGCTCTGGACGCCGACGGTGGTGATGGCCGCGTAACAGAGAGAATGCACGTGATGTCACTGAACTATAGTGTTTTAGTTTGTTTTTTGAGATGTTCTGCTGTGCGTTCAGGTTGGCCTTGAACTCATTCTGTAGTCTAGGTTGGCCTTGAACTCAAGGCGATCCTCCTGCCTCAGCCTTGCAAGTGCTGGGATTACAAGTAAGCACCACCATGCTCGGCTGAACTGTGTTCTTAAACATGGCTATGTTGGTAAATTTTATGCTACATGTATTTTATCACAATCAAAAACAACCTTTCGGTTATCTTTTTGCCTTGCTTCCAGGAGAGAAAAGGAAGAGAACAGGCCCACAGTGGTGCTCTGGAGGCTCTGGACTGACAATACTAGCACCTTAGGTTTTTATCTGTCCCCAAGAACACCAGGAACAGCAGAAGAACCTGGCAGACTCATAGGCCACCTCCACAGGGGGCAAAAACAGGCAGAAGGGAAAGGCAGGAATTTAGGCTTTTAGATTCTTCACTTGATCCACTCCAGAAAAGCCAGGGGCCCGGGCAAATTTTTCAGGCTGTTACTTGTCTGTGAGGCCACCCGGAGCCCACCTTACCTCAGATGGATTGGGGAAGTTTCCTTTCCTTTTTTGGGAAATCTGCCGCTTCTTCACACCCACCAATTACAGGGTATGTGGGTGTGTGAGAAAGAGATTTCCCAAATAAGGAAAAGAGACTCCCAAAAGTGATTCCCATCTCAGAGCCACCAGAAAGGCAGCAGTCAGCCTGCCAGCGCCATGCAGCCACAGCCCCTAAGCAGAAAGGGCTTCTTCAGCAGTGCTGGCAGAGCGAGGACTGCTACCCTCCTGCTATTAGACTGCAATCCCATCTGCCTCTACAGGGCCCAGCCCAGAGAAACTGAGACAACCTTTCCTCACCATTCTTCAGAGCTCTGGAGGGTTTCTCCCTTCTGTGGAGTAACCACTTAGGTCATCAAAAAGTACGACCAGCATCCCCTTCATCTTATTTTCTTTTCTTTCCCACCCAATTCCTCCCCTTCCAAGCTGAGAGCAGAAATTCTACAGCAGTGCACCACAAAGCTATGGAGTTCAACTCCACAACTACTGACCAGGTCTTGTATGCCCAAACCCCATGCCAGACAGCGCAGAGAGATACCAAGAGTTATCAAAGGCCCAACAATGGGGGTAGGTATCAGTCTAAATGGTAAAATAACATTGAAACAAATAAAACAAATAGTGAATAAAAGTCAAATAACAATTTAAAATATTGTGACAATGTGTTATAGGAACAGACCAGCCACAACATGTTACCGTTCAAGAATACAACAGATCAGTGGCGAGAGAAGACCACCAGAGAGGGCTGGAGCGAAGTCTAGCAGAACCAGAAGGACCAGAGGGGTCACAGCCTGCTGCTTCTAGAGACAAACATCCAAACAAGCCACGCTGCAGGCACGGTGGTCCAAACACGCTACGGGGCACACCATGTGCTCCTCCCTGCGGTCCAACACGCTATGGGGCACACCATGTGCTCCTCCCTGCGGTCCAAACACGCTACGGGGCACACCATGTGCACCTCCCTGGTCAAGAGACACATACAGACAGCTATGCTAGCTTTTGCGTACCTGACGGACAGAGGGCCCACCAAGATCCCTGTGACTAGGACAGGCCCACCCATTCCATGACAGGAGCTCTGTACTACCCACAGGCCACAATTCCCTCATCCAGGAAATCTGATGGGTGAGTTTATGCTGCTGAACAGCAAATCAAACTTACATTTTAATTTTAAAAAATGAAATTTAAGAACCACTGACTAAGTCACTCAAGGCGTCTCAGCACTGCGAGCCAGTATCCTTCTTGTGATGGGAGCCATCCCTGGCCGACACCTGCTTATGCCAGCATCCACCAGACCCTGGAACACATCGCTCCTGCTGAGGACCACTGTTCTCGGCGTGCACAGACAAAGGCTTGCACAGTGTTTGGAGTTTAGCCCACATGAGCCTGCCATGGACACTCTGCTGCTCTAGGTCTCAGGACCCACTGGCCCAGAAGGAGCAGGACTCTCGCCTGCAAGCAGGCTGAGCTCAGCATTGGGAGTTCCAGGGCTTTGTACTCCTCCTCCTGGGGGACAGCCACAAAGGACAAACCACAGTGCAGACCATCGGGTGGGTACAGAGCAGGCCTCTTCAGTGTACACAGGGCCGCCATGCCTCTCCCTGCCTGACCTCCACCCAGGCTGCCTCCAGGTGGACTGCCTCCTCCTACCTGGCCTCCATCCCAACCACTTCCTTTTAAGTCCCTCATGTGACCTTCCTGATAGTAGGAAAAGCCTTAGAAGGCAGAGGTGACACTTCACAGGCACTTCCACACAATTACCACCATTCCTTTTCACAGAGGTAGTACTGTTTACTCCTGGAGGTGCTGCACGTGTGCCCCATCCATGTTCTGGGCAGCACAGCACTAACGGCTGCCCCATCAGTCTTCCAGCTCTGAAGTCGTCTGCCAGAAAGTGGCCCATGCCCAAAGGCTTTCAACTTTAGGCACCTCCTCAACACCCACTCTTCAGAACAAGTCATTCCTAGGGCTTCTTTCTTTCTCCATATTCTGGCACAGGGCCATCTTTATCCCAGTGCCACATGAAACACTACCCAGCCCAGTCCTAGGTTGCTGGGAAACCACTGTGGGCTGCAAGTGCTGGCACTCCTGGCTTGATGGCCCAGATTACGGAGAAGCAGTGCTTGGGACGGCATGCAGCCCAGTAGCCACTTCTCTGTGCTTACACACCTGCGCCAGAGGGAATAATGGATTGTGCTGGACTTCAGGAAAGACTTCCTGATTATTAGACCAGTCACCGAGGGAAGCCCAAGGAGCTCTGTTCTCAGAAGGGTACACGGTCCCAGTCCAGCACGAATGTCATCTGGCTCCTTCTACACTGTCACATCGAGATTAAATGGGACAACCCAAACCAACTACAGCTGGGAACTAAGGCAGCCCTCAAAAGCCAGCATTTGAAGCCACCTGTCCCCTACGCATGCCTGCAGGTCCATAGCTTGTATGAGTCCCTGCTGAGACTGAGGACTTTACCCTCCTATCAGCCCGGACCAGAAACAACTTCCTCTTACCACAACCCTGAAAAAGACACCTCCTCCAATCCAAGGTCTAGACTAGTGATGGCAAACCTTTTAGGGACGACTGCCCAACTGCAACCCAAAACCCACTTATTTAGTGGCAAGAGCCAACACTGCAATTAAACCTGAATACTGAGGTTTTAGTTTAGAAAACTAAACTCACACATTAAAATCTTTTGTCTTAAAGGAAAATAACACATGGGCTATAGATTAGCCACCACTGGTCTAGGCTATCACCAGGGTTTAGGGGTTCAGAACCACCTCCATGGGGGGCACCAGTACCTAATACTCTATACTCTCAAATAGAAGCCTGAGCATTCACACACGCTACTTATGACACACAGCGGAGGAACTTGGCCAAGGTAGGCCCAGGGAGCAAGCAAGGAGAATACTCACCATCTCATCCAGGGCGTATCGCAAGAGGCCATGCTCATAAAGGATGAAGAACCGTCGCTGCCATTTCTGCAATGAAGAATAGAGTCAATGGTTAGGGAAGGCTCCTGGGGGTCCTGGCTGGCTGGGCCCCCCATATCTGACAAACCTGTATGTTAGGAACACTGGCTTTACTGCACGTTTCTGGGATAGGCAGCAGGAAAAGATAGCCCTGAGCCTAAGCACAGTGATTCATTAGCCAGACTGGGGCCGGGAGAGGGGCCCAAATCACACAAGTGATTTGTCATTCCACGTGAGTTACTGGGGTTTAACAAGAAGCCTCTTTTTAAAATTTGGAAACTCCTGAACTACATGTGGTCACCTTTCTGCATTCCTTATGGCAGCTGGCATAGACCTATCACATGATGCACACTGACATTTATTAGATGAATGATCTGACATGATCTGGAATAACCTGAGGATACCAAGGCACTGATTCATCATTTCTAAAAAAAAACTGAGAAAACTACTGTAAAAGGGGTTGTTCTGATTATCCACTGGGAGACAAGACAAAGGCAACCAGGCTCTAGAATTCAGGGGAAGTGAAGTAACAAAAATCGAAAAGAGAAGAGGACAGGCACCAGTGGAAAAAACAAATAACCCCAATGCAGGGTGCGACCACCTGCAAAGACACTTCCCTCTCTCTACCTAAAGGCCAGGCCACTGGGGTGCCACCAGCTATTAAATGCCACTGACAGCTGGAGTGAAAAGGACTCCAAGAGTAGGTGTCTTCTTTCTGTGTGAAGAAAAGCCTTGTCCATAAGAGGTTGTTGGCCTAAGTCATGATTTATAGGCGCAGCTCTTGAACCCCAAGATCATAAGAAGGATCCAGAATCTATGCCCAGCATTTCAAAAACCCAACATCATACAGATATTCACTGTCAATAAAACCCATAGAACCAACCACATCTCTTTGCTGCGAGTCAGACTTTTGTCATTTGTAGTAATGATCTTCCTTATCAGAAGCTAGGAACGGCAACTCTGTACAGCCTTAACAGAAAACAGCAAGGTGGCCACATCTCTGGAAAGTGTAATTTCACAGGACCTATTGTCTGGAGCTCTCCCACCGGGGAAGCAGCAAGAACAGGGCTTTAAAGGGCCTTGCTTGCAAAGAAGACCTGAAGAGACTGCTTCCGGGGGGATGGATGTTCTGGGGAGGCTGCCCGGATATACTTCCCAGAAATATTTCCAAGGACCCTATGTGCGGTCTTTGAAATCAAAGACCAGAGATATAATGCCAGGTCTGTCAGGCCAGAGGACCAGGCCCAAGCACCCTGGATGGGGCTGAGCAGCAGGTACCAGGAAGAAGGGGAAGGAGCTCTAGGGGCACGAGGTGGGAAAGGAGCAGAGCTGGAGCAGCTTGCACCTATCAGAAAATGAATGAAAAAGGAAGGATGATTTTTAACTGAGGCCCAACCCAAATGGGCTTGCTGGCAGAGGGACAAGCCACCGGCCAGGACAGTGCTACTGAACCATCTTGCTGCGGCAGCGACCCACCTCAGCAAGGGTGCCCAGGGAAGGGGAGCATGGAATGTTGAGCAGGAGCTGACCCCAGGCCTCCAGGCCCTCATCCTTTCACTAGTGCTCAAGTGTGAGCCCTGGGCTTGGGAGAGAACTGTGGGAAGCAGGGCCTTGGCACTGAAGGGACTAGAAGCCAAAAACAGCACAGTGCAAAAGAGGGCTCGGCTGCTCTTCTGCCTTTTCCACTTAACTGTGTTCAGAATCAGGCTGACCCACAAGACAGGCAGCACCCACATGAGAGCACTTCCTTTTGAGGGGAGGACTTTGTGCAAGGATATAACTGAGACTTTTTGGTGGGACCTATGAGTCTCACAAATTGGGGATGGGGTCCCTGCTGATTCCTGCTATATGGGTCTGCTGTTCAAGTTCCAGCTCCCTCACCCAGTCGGCGGGTGTGCACTCAAATGGGCCCTTCTCTGCCTGGTTCCCCTCCCCTGGAGATTTACTCCGGTGCCCTTACCCGAGACCGGTGCACTGGGTTGTCAAAGTCGGTCCCATCTGGAGCCAGGAGCAGCCAGCCACCATAAATAGGTTTGGCCTAGAGGAGAAAAGGGGTAAGAGGTCATGAGCAGCCTTGACTAACATGAGAGAACAAGTCAAGTCGACAAGCAAGAGGTCACCTGCCTCCTACTCCCCAGCTAGGCTCCAAGGTGGTTACTTGTGAGTACAATGCAGGGGGCGGGGGGTGTCCCACAGCATCTGGTATGGAGAGGAACACAAAACTCTGCCAGAGTCCGAAACACCCTTGACTGGATCCCTGGAGACACAAGCTACTTCCCTCCCACTCCTGATGAACACACCAGGACCAGGGAAAATGACATTTTAGCCAATGAATACGTGAGTGCTGGCATGTGCTGGGCACCAGGAACATAATGTGAAAGACACAACCCGAAGCCCTCCTCCTAAAAGCACGGTCAGAGCTAGGGGAAACATACCGCTGATCAAAGCCCACAGCTGCCAAAGACGCATCAGCTACCAGCTGTGCAGCCAAGGACAGGAAACTCTGAGTTTTAGGTCTTTCATTTGAAAGGTAGGGGAGTTGAGAGTTTCATCTATTGCCCATGAAATGTATATGAGGATGGATAAAATGAAACGCAAATAAAACCCTGCACAAGGAGACAAAATGATGCAGTCAGTGTTGGAAAACAGCCAAGTACTTCTTTAAATGCAGAACTACCATTAGCCCGCACAATTCCACTTTCAGGTGTATAATCTAAGAAAACAGGTGCTCAAATAAAAACCTGTACCCAAATGGTCCTTTTTTTTGGTATCAGGAATCGAACCCAGGGCCTCACTCGTACTTGCCAGGCAGGCGCTGTGCTGCTGAGCTACATCTCCAGCCCCAATCACTCTCGACAGCACTGTTCACAACCACTAAAAGACGGTGGCAACCTAAACGCCCACCAACAGAGGAACAGATGAGCAAGACGTGGTCTGTCCACTCAGCAGAACATTAACCATAGAAAGGAATGAGGAGCGGATGCATTCTATAGCATGCATGAACCTTGAAAGCATTAGCTAATTGAAGAAGCCACAGAAAAACCTCTCATACTGTAGAATTCCGCTTGTGTAAAAGATCTAGAAGAGGCAAACCCATAGATCAGAAAGCATGCTGGTGGATCCCAGGAGCAGAAGGTAGGGGTGAAGAGTGTCTGCTAACAAGTACGGGGTTTCTCTGGGGAGTGATACAAATGTTCTAGAATGGGACAGTGGAGATGTTACACAATACTGTGAATATTCAAAAAAAACCACTGAACTATACATTTTAAAGGGATGAAATCTACAGTATGTGAGTTATATTTCAATAAAATTATATCTCAATTGAATTATATCTCAGTAAAAACTCAATAAACGTATAAGGAAAAAACAATACTGAGCAGTGTCTGGCCTAGAAAATCTCAATATGTGTGGAGCACTCTTATACTTTTGCTGTCCTCAGAGTTCCTACTTCCTAAGGCCCTGGCAGTGAGAGCTCAGCTGAGTTAGAAAAACGGTACAGACACGAAGACTTCATCTCCCTTTCCGGCCATACAAGCTGGCAAAAAGGGGATGGAGAAGGTACAGCCAGGCCAATGTATCTACCACGGTTTGGAGGGCAGCAACACAAAAGAAAGCTGGAAGGCCTGGCTGATGTTTACCCAAACTTCTCTGGTTAAGCCTTAGGGGTCCGCTTAATACGCTATTTATTTAACTCTCCAAACTGGGAGGTCCCAACACAACACCTCATTCAGCTATGATCTGTGACTCGAAGAGGGTAGGTTTTCTGCTGCAAGTCACAAAGCCTCCAGGCTGGACCAACAACCCTTTTCTTCTTTCTGCAGGGTCCTGGAGGCCTCTGGGAACACCAAGTTTCCCTGTCAGCAGACTGGGTAAGTGGGGCTGTGCACAATGTCTGGCCTATAAAATGGCAGTAAATGTTCAGCATTACTCCATACTGTTTGCCATTCAAAGAATCCTTTACTCCCAAGGAGGTAGGGGTGGGCTGCAGGAAGAACGAGTCTTGCTTTGATGAAATACAGGAGTAGGTACTACAGAGCCGGGCATTAGGTGGACAGAGCCCAGGTGGGCTGAGTGGTTCACGGAACGAACCCCTACCCAGGAAGGCAGGAGCAAAGCTTAGAGATCATTTCTTCTGAGAACACAGTGGGGCCTGGCTAACCCCCAGGAGGGTGGGCCTGCTCACACCCTCCTCGCACCACTGCAGGCACACAGCCTCACGACCCTGCAGAAGTCCACCCACGGCCTGGAAAAGCTGGAACCAGCCACACAACTCCGCGTGTGTATCCAGACCCACTGAGCCTGTGTGGCTCCTCAGCCAGCCCACAGGCGCCCACGTGCAAGGTCCGCAGGACAGATCAGAAGCATCTCTCCATCTCTATTTGGTTCGACAATGCACCACTTTCCTGGCCTCTGCTGCAAGGCTCTGGGGTGACATCACATCCTCAGCTTACTATATCTGGTATTTCCCCAAATGGACAGCAGGGAGCTAAGAGACGAGCCCAAGTTCCCTCAGGAGCCGGGCTGGTGGTGCACACCTGTAAGCTCAGCACTCAGAAGGCTGACCCCGAAAAACTGCTGTGAGTTCCAGCCCAGCCTGGACTACACAGCAACACCCTGTCTCAAAAAAAAAAAGCCTCATTTCCAAGTTTCCTCAGAACCCAGGCCACACTCTCAACCCAGCCATATCCTCTCTGGCATTATTATTCACTCAGTTAATGCCTGCTCAGGCCTAGTGGCGAAGTCCTGGGCACTGCACACCAGGTACCCTGCCAGCAACGCCAATCACAGATCCTGATACGCATCACAGTAAAGGGACATGAGTGACAGCCAGGTGAAGGGAGCGTGGGCAAGAAGTCAGGACTCGGGAGGAAGAGCTGCCGGGCAGGAGGCGCACTCTCAAAAGCACTGACCAGGGAGACACACGCAGCACAGTGGCTGGCTCGGGCTGAGGGCCTTGGGAGTGACAGTTAAGGGCGCAGGGTTTCTTCTGGAGATGGCGACACGTTCTAGAAACAACAGTGTTACTGGCTGCACCTCACTGGGAATATATACGAAAGTCACTGTACTGTGGGCTTTAAATGTGTCACTTATATGGTATGCAATTTGTCCCCATACAGCTGTTTCAAAAAACCGTTTACCAAAGTCACGCCAGGCAGCGGGGAAGAAAGACACAGAGAAGCACTCATGGGTTCTCCGCCCACAAGCAGTGACGTGAGTGGGGCCCCTCTCCCGAGCCCAAGTGAGTACTCCGGTCAGGGTAGGGAAACCCCATTCCAAGATAGGGGTTACAGAGGTTGCAAAGTCAAAGGCTGGACCCCTGACTTGCCGGAAGGAGTGGAGAGGGCCAGACAGGCCGAGGCCCAGGAGGCCCACACGGGGCGAGCTGGGGGCCGGGAGGACCCCTAGAGCAGTGGTGAACCTGTGGCCTGCGTGCCATAGCAGGCTGTTTGTTATCTCTGAGAGCTCACCATCACTGTCCTAGAGGCAGTCATGGAGGTCTGCTCTGGGGCCTGCAGTTAGACAGCCCTGTGGTGCAGCTTCAGGCCCACAGAAAGACAAGGGAGGGGCAGTGAGCATGCGGGAGGTGAGCCCCACTGCCCACACACAGGTCTAGGTGGGGAGCACTCCCAGCTGCGGCCGTGACTAGGGACCCTCTTCACTCCTTAGCATCTCCCGAGAACAACCAGACTGTTCCCCGTCCACCAGGCGAAGCGCCCAGCACCAGGACCCACTTACTGGCACATTCCAGTGGCTCTTTCCCTCCCCATAACCCTGCCAAGTGGCCGGCTGCTGTCTTGCCAATTCTCCCTGCCACCCCTCTACCTGCAATCCCACTCATGTGGCAAGGGCCCAAGTCCCTTCCTTCAGGGGCTGTCCGATGTCAGCATGAGGTGAATCAGCTCAGCGCTACAACAATGACGTATGTCCAAAGGGACGTGTACCGATCATTTTGTTGTGAAATCACGTTGCTATGACCCCTCCACCCCGCCCACTCTGCTGCAGAATGGTTCAGGAAGGCAGGGATGCCCTAGCTGCACCCTCCATCCCAAGGCAGGTTTACGGAAGGGAGGGGAGAGGATGGACGGGGAAGGGGGGAAAGGAGGGGCAGCAGGGGAAAGGCCGTCAGCTGCAGCACGCCGTCAGCCCTGCTTGCCAGCTACTACCTCTCTTGAGCTTCCTTCCCCTCAGAGAGCCTGCAGAGCTGACCTGGCTACCTTTTGTCTCCAGGCGTGGAAACGCCTGCTAGAAGGAACTGCTGCTCTGCCACTCTCTAAAGATGCTGTGCCCACCCACTGCCACAGAAGGGCCACCATGTCCGTCCAGAGGCCCGAACAGTGCCGAGACGGCACACGGGACGCGGCCAGTGGAGAGCACTCTGGGCAGAGTGGCGGGCTCAGTTCTGCTATTTTTCGGCCGAGTGTTTGAAGGAGGCAAGAGAAGCAGGTGCCTGCTGTTCACAGTGGGACCCCAGCAGGCTGCAAGGACCCACGGGAGGACAGCACTGAGCTGTGAGTTGTTTCGGGCAGCCTTTCTCACACAGGCCCTCCACGGGAGGAACATCACTCCAGCCCCACAGAAAAGCCACCATAAGCCCGGAGTGACTTCCTTCGCAGAGCAACCTCCCTTCCCTTGTGACCTGCAGACACCGGAGGGAGCCCCCTGGGCTAGTCTCTGATGGGGATATTGAGGGTCTGGGTATATTCTTCAACACAAAACCCTTTCAAAACCAGAGACTTGTCATAGTAACTAAATCTTGGGAGCAACCTACATATCCCTCAACAGGTGAGTGGACAGAGAAAATGTGGCATTTATACATAAGGGAGTACTACTCTGCCATAAAGAAGGATAAATTTGGGTCACCTGTAGGAAAATGGGTGCACCTTGAGACTGAAGGGGTCCAAGAGATATAGGGAGGAAGAGGGAGGAGAGAGGGTTAAAAAAGAATTTAAAATGTCGTGTATATGTACCAAATCCCCATGATAAATGTAATCATGCATCACAAACATGTACCAATAAAATATTTAAAAAACAGAGACT